TAATTAACACAGATGCATAAGAACTAAATATGCATAGAAAACAGAAAAAATCGATTTAACAAAAATAAACATCATTTATCCATTTTAATAGGTGAAAAAAGTATTCGTACAATGCATAATCTTCATTTAATACTTTGTAGAATAGCCGTTATTCACTTTTACAGCAATCAACCTCTTCTGATAGTTCTCAATTAATGATTTACAAATTTTACTTGGTATTTTGTTCCATTCTTCTTCACATATGGTCTTCGTGATGTTTGTTGGAGCTCTCAATCGGATTTGAATTCTCAAATAACTCCACGGATTCTCGATTGGGTTTTAAATCTGGGAACTGACTTGGCCATTTTAAGATATTTACATTATTTTCAGCAAGCCATTTCTTTGTAGATTTTGCAGTGTACCTAGGATCATTATCTTGTTGAAGAAGATCCAATCGGGAGAAACTTCAAGATTTTCAACCGAAATCATTAAATTTGCTTCCAAAATATTTTGATACGCTGCGGTATTCATTCTACCATCTATTACTGATATGTTGCCAGTACCTTTTGTAGAAAAAAACATCCCCAAGCCATGATGCTACCACCACTAAATTTTACTATTGGAACTGTGTTCTTTTGTTTGAAGTCATCGCCATCTTTCCTCCGTAAATAATTTCGAGAATTACTTCCAAACAACTCAATTTTGGTTTCGTCTGTCCATAATATTCTTTCCCAATATGATTTTTCTTTATCCTCATGTTCACGAACAAATTTCAACATGGCATCTCTGTGTCTGTGGAGTTTTCCGAGGAGAGCGTGACTTTAGATTGTTCCTATGAATTTCATTGTTTATTGTCCGTTTAATAACACAGATTCATGGTGAAAGCAAATCATCCTGAAACTCTTGACGAATAAACATTGGATTTTGTTTAATTTGATGCATTAATTTCCTCAAAGATCTTGAAGAAATCTTCCATGGAGCACCTGTTCCTCTTTGGTTTTCAACGGTTTTGAATTTTTTTTATACCTTGCAATGAATGAACTACTGGAATTAAATAGAATATTCAAGTTGCATGAGATTTTCCTATAACTTTTACCTTCTTTTCAGAGCTTAACAGTCAGTTCTTTTTTGCGAATTTTTCAATTCTTTACTACTTGCCATGATGAAAACCTTCTTGCATGATTATCAATTACAGGATGTTCTGTTTGTATTTTTAGGCTAAAAATAACAACTGATAACATTATTGGAACATTCTAGAATATTCCACTTCAATAATCTTGTGTATTAAAGTAATTTAAATGTTTTAAAATCTGTAATTTGCATTGTACGATTATTTTTTTCACCTATTAAAATGGATAAATGGGGTTTATTCTTTCTGTTTTCTATGCATGTTTAGGCATTATGCATCGGTGTACAGTTAATTATATGAAAAGTATGTTTATCCATTATTTGGAAATACAATAAATTAAAAGTATATACATGTACGAATATTTGTTCAAACCACTGTATATAAAAATGGACATTGAAGTCAAGAATCAAATGTAACATTCTGTTTCATGCTAAACGCCATCATCAGGCCATGTGCATTGTGTTTTTGGGTGGTGACTTCAATGTCCACTGTTATATTTACATACCCTCTATCCCCGATATAGACCAATTTAACCTATAAATAAATATAGAAGACCTTAAAACTATATTTTATCATATATATATATATATATATATATATATAATTGAGACATACTATCTCTATTTATTTTAGTTTGAATCCTTTCAAGTCCATGAAGATAAAAAATTGAGCAAGACAGATAAAAAATTTTCGTTCAAATTATTTTTAGTTTCCCCAAGAGCATTCAATCCCATCTGAGACCATCTTCAGGGATTCAAATATCTGTGTATATAGTAACTCTATAAATACAAAATATTTTTTTCACTGTTAGTGTACAGCGTTTCAAATTAGAAGTTTTTTTTTTCGGTTATGAAAGGGAGGTAACTTTTTATTTGAATAAATCTGCTTGAATTAAAATATACTACCTATATATATATATATATATATATATATATATATATATATATATATATATATATGTAATTTAAATATACATATATATAAATGTATAAATAATTTAAAGATATACATATATACATACATGCACACAAGATTTCTCTAATAATCAGGTAACAGCCTGATAATGTAACTAAATAAAAATACTGTTTAATATTTAAAAGAGACTATCTACCCAAATACAAAATATGTTAGATTTAATCCATCTTCTAACACACACACACACACACACACATATATATATATATATATATATATATATATATATATATATATACTCAAACAATGAAATAAAATTCACGTTCCGTCGCCTTCATGAGAATCATAGTTTGTAGTGCCTTTGATCCTGTCATAGCAACACAGTGACAAACAGCAGCAAAATTTGGATGACTCGGCTGACTTCAGTCTTGTAATGCAATTTGATACAACCATGCAGCCTCGCGTCCATTACCATTTGTGCGGCCGTGTGTAAAAATCATATCTGCCGGCACACGATATAAATATTCTGCTATTGTTAAAGGCAACACTTTCCACTTCTCAATTAACTCACTACTACTACTACTACTACTACTACACAAACACACACACACACACACACACACATACATATATATATATATATATATATATATATATATATAGAGAGAGAGAGAGAGAGAGAGAGAGGAAAAGAAAGGTGCCTGCATTTTAGTTCGTACAAACACACCTATATATATATATATATATATATATATATATATATATATATATATATATATATGGATGTGTCTGTACGAACTAAAATACATACACCCTATGTATGTGTGTCTATTTGTGTGTGAGTGTCATCCCAAAACAAACACAGAAGAAAATCACACACAAATAAGCATAAATAGACCCACTTTTTAAAAAATAAGCCAGTTTGTTTGATGATCGCAAAACGTATAACCCAAGGTTACAAACTAATACCATACAACTAAATATATATATATATATATATATATAGATCCGATATATATATATATATATATATATATATATATAGATCCGTGCAAGGGATCATATCGATTAATATATATATATATATATATATATATATATATATATATATATATATATATATTAATCGATATGATCCTTGCCTATGGCAATCTCCCAAAATCGCAAGGGGATACACAGAGTGCAGAAAGATTAGGAACAGATACAATAATAATGAGCGGAAAGACGAAAGACTTATCAGGAGGACATTAGATACTGATTGTCATTGCAATTAAGTTTTTACAATTTAAATTTGGCCACAAATTGTGGAGCCGGAAGGGAGTTCCACAAGCGAGAATTGTGAATATATATATATATGTATGTATGTATAAAAGTTGAGATGAATCAGACCAGGGAACAGTAATATTCAAAATGCTCAATACACGTGAGAAAAAAAAAATAAAAATTGTGTTTTCTTTCTTTTTTTAATAAAACGTTAAAATCGTCATTTTAAAAGTATCGCCCGACGAGACCGCCAGGTCGAAACCGTTGTTGCGTATTTTAACTGACCTCCTGATTTTTAAACTTAAAAGCTCTCGCTCGCTCGCTCGCTCGCTCTCTCTCTCTCTCTCTCTCTCTATATATATATATATATATATATATATATATATATTCTGTTCATATGTTATTTCATTATGGATACACTTATTTAAGTAAATTCTGTGTTCTCTAATTAAACAGTATTAATTACATTTATTGTCATGATTGTCCGAGAAATTTCATAGAAAAATATGCGTTGACCGATAGGAGTTGAACCTGCATCCTATGAAAAACCACCATTAAGTCCGGCGTGCTATAACCGTTTATCTACAGAAGACTTCCAGTTAAGCAAATTACTGCTTTTAAGCACACACTTAATATTTTGACAATATATCAAGGAAATGGATTAAATCTGACAAATATTTGATTTTTTTACTTATTTAACTAAATGCTCTGTTCTTTAATTAAACAGTATTAATTACATTTACCGACAGGATTTCGATCTATTTCTTCATGTAATACATAATTCTTGTACCATTAAGACATTATTTTATTTAATAAAACTCCAAAATCTAGAAAAACGTGTACAGATCTTATAGACAAAAGGCTAATTCTTAAATCTTAGTTCAAGAGGGACTTTTCGAAGAACTGCGTAGTGACCATATGTGCACAAGAACTTTTCAGACACTGTGTACATATTTTAACAGAGAAGTTATTCATATTCGACTTGTAGAAAAATATTATCCACAAAATGTATAGATTAAGAGAATACCTTCTCCAGATTTACTCCCATGTTTCATGGACGAGAGAAAGAGATGGATGACGCCCTTCTATCGGTGTTTGGAATTGTTTTCGTTTTTCCTTAGCTTTTCGTCTATATTGCACTAAAATCTATAGGTTCTCCTTTCAGGAAAGAAGAACGCTGGACTATTCACAATACTTTCCTTATTATTCTGATTATATTTAACCACAAAAGCTCCATTCAAGTCGTAAACAGAGACTTTACGTTATCCAAAGCCACATTCTTTTCGACTTTTGTTTTTAAATGATTCTCTTAGTCAAAGAATTCAGGATATCTGTATTTATTGAATTTATAAACGACATTGTATATTAGCCACATTGTTGCTGGAATCTTAGCGATTTTTTTTTTCCATTTGTCTTAATGTTTTAGAATCCCTTAAAGATTTGCATTTTTTTCTTTCTTCCTTTCTTTCTTCTCGAAATTACTTTCTTTCTTTCTTTTGCTTTGCTCTCTTTCTCTCTCTTCTTTTTCTCATTGTCTTATTTCTCGCCAACGTGCTCCCACAATTAGCAGTCATCTTTTTTCCACTTGTCTTCCTTGAAAGAAGCTGAAAGTATCTATCTAAATCGAGACTTGTCGACGCCACATCAAAGTTGCACGAAAATTACACGCGACTGCGACCTCAAATTCCCCTCAACTCCAGGCCAATATTCTACACTAAGCTCCGCAGCAAGATAACAAAGAAGGAAATGTGATTTGGAAGAAGGTGAAGAAACGATCAAAACTTTGGGAAAGAGGAGGAGGAGGAGGAGAATGATGGCAAAAAAAAGGGTCTTGGAGGAAGACATGACTGAAGAGGAAGGAGGAGGAGGAGGAGGAGGAGGAGGAAGAAGAAGAAAAGATAGAGAAATGAATGAAAACCGTAAGAGAGTGGTCCATGGTGGTGGGGGGGGAGACAAAAATACGGAAAAGAATGCTAAACCAAACGATAACAAGGAAAAAGAGAGATGTGGAAGAGGAGGAGGACACGGGAGAATAACAAAAGAACGAGAAAAAGATAAAGTAGAGGAAGAAGAAGAAGAAGAAGGGAAAGAACGAGGATTGAGCAGGGAAAGGGGGGCTATGGCGGAGATAGAAAAGTGGAATGAATGAAAGAAAGGAAATATTGAAGAAAAATGATGAGAAGAAGAAAAAAAGAAAAGGAAGAAGACGAAGAAGAAAAAGTAGAAAACAGAAGGAAAAAGAGAAGATGAGAAAGAAGATCAAGAAAAAGAAGAAGAAAAGAAAAAGAAGAAGAAAAATGAAGAAGGAGAAGTAGAAGGAGAAGGAGAAGAAGAAAAAGAAGAAGAAAAAGAAGGGACCGACAAAGAAGAAAAAAGAAGAAGAAAAAGAATAAAGGAAAAGAAAAGAAAAAAGGAAGAGAAAAAGACGAAGACGAAAAGATGAAGAAGAAAAAAAGAAAAAATGGAGAAAAAGAAAAAGCGAAAGAATAAAAAGAAAGAGAGAAGAAGAAGAAGAAGAAGAAGAAGATGAAGTGGAAGTAAAAGAAGAATAAAAAGAAAAGGAAGTACAAGAGGGAGAAGAATGTGAATAAAGAAAAAGATGAAAAGAAAGAAGCAGAAGACGAAGAAGAACGAAATAAAAATCTTCATTTCTTTCAATTCAAGAAGAAAAAGAAGACCAAGAAGAAAAAAGAAGAAAATGAAGAAGAAAAAGAAGAACTAAATGATGAAAAAGAAGGAAAAGAAAAAGAAGAAACAGAGAAGAAAAAATAGAAGAAGAAAAAGGATGAAGAAAAAGAAAAGAAGAAAAGGAAGAAGCAAAACTAAGAAACGGAAAATGAAGAGAGAAAAAGTAAAAGCAAAAGAAGAAAAGGAAGAAGATAAAGAAGGAGTAGTAGAAGGAAAAGAATAAAAATAAGAAAGAGAAGAAGAAAAAAGAAGAAGAAAAATGAAGACGAAGTAAAATAAGAAAAAGGAAAAAAGAAGAAAAAGAATTTTAAAAAAATGAAAGGAAGAAGCACGAACCTAAACTTGATTTTTTTTTCAATTCAAGAAGAAGAAGAAGTAGTAAAAGATGAAGGAGAAACAGATAAAGAAGAAAAAGGAGAAGAAAAGGAATAATGAAAAAGGAAGGACGGAGAAGAGAAAGAAGAAAAGGAAGAAGAAAAAGAAGGTGAAGAAGAAGAAAAAAGAGGAAGCAGAAGAAGAAACAGATGAAGAAGCAGAAAAAGAAGAAGAAAAAATAAAAGCAAAAGATGAAAAATGGGAGAATAAAAAATAAAGAAAAGAAGAAGAAAAGGGAGATGATAAAGAAGAAGAAAAACGAGGAGAAGAAGAAAAGGATGAAGAAGTAAAAGAATAAGAAAAAGTTAAAAGAAGAAAAAGGAGGAGAAGAAAAAATAAAGAAAAAGAAGATGAAAAGGAAGAAGAAGAAGAAGAAGAAGAAGGAATTTAAAATCTTGATATTTTTTTATTATGCTCAAAATTTGATTGAGACAGACAGTCTATCCTCAGTTTTCGAACAGGAAATCTTATAGGATCTAAAATAACCAGCAGATAAGATGGTTGTTATCAAAGCCATTACAGAAATTATTTACCATTAGCAAATAATTTTTGAAAACTGACATCATTCTACCTTATTAAAAAGTATTATTTTAAATTTTAACTTCAATCCCTTCCCCGCCACCGTAACTTAACACTCCCCCTTATGCTATTCCTATAAAAATAAGGTTTAATCAAAAAAAGTATAGGGACCGTTGCTATGGTAACGGAGCTACTGTATGCAGAATGAAGCGTTCGGCACAGGTTGACCTTGAACGCTGTTGCGTTATAACATTCTCACTCACTTCTCTTGTTTATAGCAGTACTCGAAATGAAAGTGTGTAGAGTGTGGTCGACTCATCACACCGCAGATGTTCCATCAGTGATCATGGGTTTTTTTTTTTTTTTTGCAGCAGATTTTGGCCAAGTACAACATTCCCCAGTTCCGACAACTACCATCTCGCTTGCGACATTTTCCACTTTCCAAAGATCAAATCCCACAAGATCCCAAGATTTCAAGAAGTCGAGGAAATCCAAGAGAATGTGAAGAGGAAGTTGCTTCCTATCCCAGAGAAAGAATTCCAACAATGCTTCTAACAATGAAAACGACACTGGATAAAAGGTGTGACTTCAGAAGGGGACTACTTGTGGAAGCATATCTTTCCAATACACGTTCAGGTGTGACCAGTATTGTGAGCGTTGGATTTATCTAAAGGAAATTTAATGTTCAAAATATGTTCAATGGGGTTTAAATCTGGAGAGCAAGTGGGGCAATTCGAACAGATTAAGGCTCACCTACGATGCTGCGTATTCCTTGCCGAAACAGACTATCTTTGGACAAGTGGTTAGCAACACAATCTTCGTATGTCAAACTTACCAAAATAGAATCCAGTTTTAATAAGGATCATTATGAACATCAACAGATGAACCTCTACACATACACTGTCGACACAAAGGAGGTGAAAAAGACCAGGCAATGCGGAGACATTTTTTTTTCCTTTTCTAATGTCGATATTCTCTGGCACGGGTGAGACATGCTAACAGCTGCTGTGATTTTAATAACGACACCCGCATTGATTAACGACTATATATCGCATGGACTGCTGTGTACATGAACCGACTAACAGGGTGGGATGTTATTTGATACTATCTTTTTTTTTTTACTGGACACCGAGGAAGTGTCTTTTAGGGGCATTAAAATACTTTTTGGGCGTCCTCAGCTATTATGGGTAGCAACTCGGAAGAGGAAATTGGAGAGCCATGTGCAAATCCTAATCAAGTTCGTAACATTCCCATACGCGCAAATGCGCTTTGGAAAGGTATCCCTCCGACTTCTCCTCTACCTATGGGTTAAATAGTAGTATCTGTATGTAGAAATATCATTGCTATTCCCCAAATAATTGTTAATGAAATTTAATCGCAAAGAATTGTTTTTAGAATACTAAATATATTTGGACTTTAAATAACCCACAGACGGTTGATAAACCGTAAAAAATAAAACAAATGAACCACTAACTGTTTATGTCTCTTCACACTTCATCTCTTCTTGGAATACTTATCCAACTGGCGCCCGAGAAAATAACAATAGCCGCAACAATTATTCGGTGATCAAACGCTGTTAGCTCGTTTCCGCTTCCCATGACCGACACATCTAAAATGGCATAGCTACACTATATCCTTACTTATGACGTCACAGATGTTAGCAGTTGTAGCTGTAGACTTTTAAACCGGAAACAGATTATATTTCTTTCTGAGGTGCGCGTTTTACGGTCAAATCAAAAAGAGGAGTTAAAGAAATACAAATAACTCTTCGTTCTCTCTCTCTCTCTCTCTCTCTCTCTCTCTCTCTCTCTCTCTCTCTCTCTCAATCCATTCACTCTTCCTAGCTCTCCGGTGTTCCTCTCATTGTTTGTCTCTCTTTCTGTCTCTCTATCTCTGTCTCTGTCTGTTTGTCTCTCTCTCTCTCTCTCTCAATCCATTTTTGTTTCTCTCAGACAAAAATATACACACGCACAGATTCATAAATCTTCGTCCTTCCCTTTCTCCCCCACCCTCTCTCTTTGTCTTTCTTTGCCTGTTTCTATCTTTCTATATCTCCCCTCGTCACTATCTCTCTCTCTCTCTCTCTCTCTCTCTCTCGCCCCCTCTGTCAATATCTGTCTCTCTCAAATAAACCGCAAAATCTCTCTCTCAATATATCTCCCTATTTGTCTTTCTTTTTTCCCTCTCCATCTCTGTTTCCATGTCTCTGTCACTCTCTCCGTCTGTATCTCTCTCCCTTTGTATCTCACTCCTTGTTTGTTTGTCTGTCTATCCCTTTCTCTCTCTTTGTCTTTCTTTTCTCCATCTATTTCTCTCTCTTTCCATCTGTCGCTCTGTCTCTCTCTCTCTCTCTCTCTCTCTCTCTTCTGTCTGTCTCTCTCTCTCTCTGTCTATCACCCCTTTTTGTCTTTTTTCTCCATCTCTTTCTCTCTCTTTTTATCTGTCATTCCGTCTCTCTCTTCTGTCTCTCTCTCCTTGTCTAACTCTCTTTTCTCCATCTCTTTGTCACTCTCTTTTCATTTCTCTACCTGTCACTCTCTTCTTCTCTCTCTCTCTCTCTCTCTCTCTGTATCGCGCTACTTGTCTGTCTCTATGTCTTTCTCAGCATCTCTGTCTCTCTGTTTTTTCCTATCACACCCTTATATCCACACAACACAAACACACATGTTTATCGGTGAGTGTTTTTGCTCCGGGATTTTCTCTGATAGAGGCGTGCATAAAGTGCTTTTTTCGTAAACAAATCTTTTGCTTGTTTTGTTTTGTTTTGTTTTTTTTTTGTGGGGGGGTAAAACAAAAAGAAAAAAGAAAGTAAGAAAAAAAAGTAATAGAAAAAGAAAAAAGAAAAAGGAAAAAGAAAGAAATAAAAAACAGAAAAAAGAAAGAGACTATTTCTATAAATCTAATAACACTTTCGCACAATCCGATCGGTTGCGACGCGCATGCGCAAAGCCATTGTAGCCGGAATTCACCAATGAGCAATTCTTGTCGCTTCTCTATTGATTCTATTTCTATTTCTCTGCTTATCCTCTCAATAAAACAAAGAAAGAAATAATCCCCAAAATAGACTCTTTTTCCCCATTACACTTTACCTGTTCATTGTTTTATTTTGTTTATACACCAGCGTGTGCTGAAAAGTTATCAGTTCGATCAAGAAGGACTTAAAAAATCAGATTTCCTGTTATTTTGTTAGATTTTGAGAAGTGGGACAGGCTGAAAATTTCCTCACCACTTCCTTGGATTATTCAGATGATTTTACTAGGGAAAAAGTGGGGATAAGTTTTCTATTGTTATTAAGTAATAAAATATCTCCTTTTCAAAATTGCTATATATCAGGTCGCCCATATATATATATATATATATATATAGTTTATACAAAACTAGATAATCCGTATGGGTAGACGCAAGGAGGATGATATCCGGAGAGCTCAATGTAAATTCAGAGCAAATATGTTTGAATAAAAAATCAGCCTTTGGAAGTAAAGTATGATGATCCAGAGCCTTTAAAACGGCTGTGATGAAATAATTTATTACATGGAACCTTAAAGTGGTCTGTTTTATTCAAACAAATATATATATATATATATATATATATATATATATATATATATATATATATATATATATATACCGGTGTAAAACAAAATTGTTCAAATCGTGTAACATCAAAATTGTCAGCTGTTTAGATTAAGATTTGAACCGTTGTAGCTTAGAAATAATTAAAGATATCTTACTGGAATTCTTCGAGGTTTTTTATGAAACTATTGGATTCTACTTTCACCAACAAGAATATATAATTACTCTCAAAGCTTAACCGAAGAATCTTGACGAAATCGATCATAAAATAAAATGACATGTTCATCATTAATTAATCATAGCTAAAGATCGGAAGCTCATGAAAGATTGATATAAAGTCCATATATATATATATAATTCCAGGATCATTTTACAACTAATTCAAGATGATATTCGTCATCTCTAACCTTCTGTCCTAGAGCTGCCTCACGGGTTTCATTTTCAAGTCTTTTTTCACTGCTCTTTGGACTGTCATTGCTGAAACTTCTTTCACACGTGCCAAACGTCTTATGAATTGAGTTGGATCTTTTCTCATTGATCTCTTTAGCTCTAAGTTGAAATGATGATCCCTCTTGCTGTTGTGATCTCCTCTTCCAGTTTTCCTCTCTACTGTTTTTTAAACTTATTCACCGTTCTCTTGATTGTTCTTGAATAGACTTTGAAGATGGAAGCCAGAGTATAAATGTTGGTACCATTACTGAAGATGTGAATGATTTTTCCTCTTAACATTGCTCAGTTGGGAAGACAGTAGGCTTGACACAAAATAATTTTAACCTGCTCTCCTTTTAGCTGAATAACTCAAAGAGTTTTTGGGTGATTCTTACGACAGATGATGTCAAGCTGAAAAAAGAAATTCAATTAGTAGAGTGATTTTTTTTAGACATTAAACATTTTGTGCGGTGGACAAACATGCTGTTAAACGATTTGAATAATTTTGCTGTTACATCCAGTATCTCTTGAAAGTATATTTTCAATTAAGCACTGTTGAACGGCAAGCTAATTCGAAAAACAAGAAGATGGCTCAGTGGCAGAAGCTCTGACTGAGAACAAATCTGTTGGGTTTCGATCCGGGTTTGAGGCATTCGGTTGTCTAGTCGCAATGAGGAGCTGTGATACAACGAAACTGTACTGTCTGCGAATGACACACACATATATATATATATATATATATATATATATATAAAATAAAATAAAAGGCTTAAACACTAATATTCCATGGTCATAATTTATTCCATTGGAATCGTAAATATGATCAATTCATCAGACCTACAAATTCAAAAGTCTAAAAAACAACTCCGGAAATAAAAACAGAATTTAGAGAGAGTGTAAGTATGAGGGAGTGGGACGAATGTTAGAGCTAAAGAGAGGAGTAACAGACTAGAGAAGGAGGGAGATTATATATATATATATATATATATATATAGTAAAGAAGATTAGGAAATCGTCGCACGACGGGGGTTGTGGTAGAAGGTGTGGAGGGGAAAATCAAGTGTATTGTAAATGCATTAGTGGAGGATTAAATGAAATATACAAACTTTCTTTTTATTCCACTTCAAATGATCTAAAAAGGAACTTGTTTAGTATGAATACAACAGGACATAATTTCTGAAAAGTTGCTTTTGGTTTCGAAATGCTATTATAGCTAATTTTTCTTGTTGACAAACGTTGAAGATGTTGCTATGATTGCTGTAAGGTTTTGCTTTTTTAACATTTTCCAGTTTACAACATTTTTTTAATTTATTTTAATTTCAACGCTTGGTTGGCTAGTTTAGTAGAATTTCTAAGGCTTTCTAGCTTAAAAGATGACTTATGATTGTACCACCTCTTTTTAAAGTTATCATCAGTACACTCGGTGTATATTTTTTCTGGCCATTTGCATCTATTACTTCTGCTTTGTAAATTACTGCTTCAGTTTTGCAAACTCCATCTAATGAACATCTGCTTTTATTTCTACAAAGTATGTATATTTCATTTAATCCCCTACCAATATATTTCCAATACACTTGATTTTATTTAAAAAAAAAAAATAAAGCGTTAAGAAATCACTTAAATTAACCGGGTATTGAACTCACACTCTTTGGGTCCAGTCACTGGATCTAACCAACGCCTTTATCCACAGTGCCATGTGCCCTTGATAAAACATGGCACGTGGAACTAGAACAGTCTACCCCAGTGAGCGAAATAAATGATTCAGTTCGACATTCCAACTACCTCAAAAAGGCCGGAACGTACAACGGCCGAAACGTTGTAATAAATATGTCGACAAAGATGAGGACAATAGTACGAATAATGTAAATAGTGTACATAATACCTCACCTCAAAAATATAGACAGATACTGAAAGGCCGAAACGTTGTAATAAATATGGCGACAAAGATGAGGACAATAGTCCGAATAATGTAAATAGTGTACATAATACCTCATCTCATAAATATAGACAGATACTGAAGGGCCAAAATGTTGTGATAAATAAAGCGACAAAGATGAGGACAATAGTCCGAATAATGCAAATAGTGTACAGAATAGCTCATCTCAAAAATATAGACAGATAATTTTGCAATTGATAATAGTGTAAAGCAGGGAAATATTCCTGCCCCTAGCTTGTTTTCCATCTCTTTTGCTGTGATAATTTCGTATGTTTTTCAGAATTGTGATGTAGGACATCTGGAAAGATATTTGACCTCCGCAGATTCAATACAAAATCGAAATGTTTTGATGTTGTAGTCAGAGAACTACTCTATGCAGATGATGCTGACTTGGTATCTCACAGTAAGGAAGATATGCAAGCTGTCATGGACCTGTTCTCCAAGGCATGCATGTATTTTAGTTTTATTATAAGTTCAAAGATAACAAAGGCCATGTATACACCATCCCCCTCTCAGCATTATAGTGAACCAGATATCTTTGTTAATGGACATAAATTAGAAGTTACTGATACTTTTGTTTATTGCGACAGTGTTCTTTCAAAAGATGGCTCACTTGATGCCAAAATAAGTCATTGTGTACAAAAAGCAAGTAAAGCTTTTGGAATGTTAGAATATCATGTATGATTAGATAAAGGTATTTCAGTCAAAACTAAGTTAAGTGTGTATGAGACATGCATTTTAACTGCTCTACTATACTCCTCAGAGACATGGACCACTTACCGACGACACATCTAAATTTTAGAACGTTTTTATCAAAAGTGCCTTCGGAGGATTCTAGATATTAAGTGGCTATCTTTTTTCTCGGACACCGAAATTTTAGAAAGGGCAAATACGTTTAGCATTGAAAAGATGTTAACATGTAACCAGATGCGCTGGGCTGGTCACATCATAAGGATGAAGGATGATCTCCTCCCAAAACAATTGTTCTGTGGTGAATTGCCAAGCTGCAAACGTCCTCCACACAAACCAAAACAGCGCTTTAAAACTTAAGAATCTACTTAAGAATCTTGGAATAAGTACAAAGAATTGGGAGAAGGAGGCAGGTGATAGGTCTATAACTGGCGGAAACTTCTTTATGAAGGTTGTAACAGTTTTGAAGAGAAAAGGGTTGAACATGCAAAAGTGAAAAGGGCCTTAAAGAAAGGTGATGCTAATCTGTTGCCTCTAGATTCCCAGCATAAATGTACTTTTTGCAACAGAATTTGCTTGTCTAAAGCTAGTTTAACCAGTCACATGAGATACCTTCGGCACGATAATATAGACTATGTTTCTCGGACTGGAAGCCTTCCTCCTAGAGCAACTGGCGCTCTTTGTCAGTTTTGCGACTAAACCTACAAATCTGCTGCTCTAAAGAGGCATGATAATAGATATTCATCAAGACAAAATAACCTTCAAAACTCTCATTACACCATTCATTTGTTATTTCTGTAAGAAAGCTTGTAAGAGTGCAGCGTAGTTAAAGAGCCGCTTGTGTGCACATGAACGTCAACAATGCACTGCAAGTTGCAGTCACTATCATAAACATCAACTGGCTGTATTTTTGTTAAAGCTTTTCTTAACTGGTTGTTATTCCTTTTATCATTTTACTAACTTTCTTTTATATCCTTTTTAATATTCTTTTAATTGAAAGTGTTTTAACACTTAAAAATTAAAGATAGGCTTTTAGAAATTGTTTGCAAATGCGAATGTTTTTTATCATATTTCATCCTTTTTATTTTTTTTATCTTTTTAAGATCCT